TGGTGTCTTCCTCTATCAATTTGTGTTGGGCACAAAAGCCACTTGTACGCAAGATTTAAAAGTGAGTAACAACAAATAGTATATTCACAGACGAAGGAGTTTTCACGAGTTAATATCTTTATTTTATTAATTAGTTGCTCTGTTCTTGTTGGAAGGCCAAGAACTCACCTTTTTATACACATGGGCCTTTTACAGGAATTACTAACGGTAAGTTTCTATGTTATTCGGTGTTTAGGAATTTCGATCCAATATTAAAGTTAGAGAGGTTCTTTTCTATCTTTATGTTTGGATCTCTAAAAGCGTCAACAGGTGTAACATAATAATAAACTAACAAAATAAAAATAAATAAATATGAGACAAAAGAATTCGGAAAACGTTGATATCAAATGTTTAATTATCTCTTCGAGGTGTTAAGCATTATGACGGAGTGTCAACTATTAATTATTTTAGTGTCAAATATTAGTTATTATGAAGGATATTATTACGAGATGTGGGACATTGATTATCGAAGTCTATTATGGCTATTGTGCAAGATATCGATTGTTACTATATGCAAATGATTACCTACTAATTATCTACGTATACCGATACTGTACATGTATGATAATCATTCATGCGTTAATTGCTGTAGAATGCCAAAATCGTGTTGAACACTGACCATTCCGATACAGTAGCGATCCTCATGTTAGGGGAAAATTATTGTTTCCTTAACGTTTATGTCAACATAAGATATTATGGAATGATTTATACGATCTTCGTAACTATATTCATTTTAACTGGCGAAAATTGATTTGGTCAGGAAAATTAGAATATTAATCTTTGTAACTTTCATCCCAGAAATATTTTATATTCTCCTGAAATTGTTGATTTTGGACTTATGGCTCAGAGAAATAGAACATCAATATTTGTGGGAAGATAGTAGTTCTTTTGATGAGTCCAGAGTTGTTAAATGAGAAACCATAATTTATAGTTTTGAAATGATTATAATTGTTGAACGACCATTTGGTGAAAGAAGCCATGCTACGTGTATATAGTCTGGTAACGATATTATAAAGGACGACTTATGTACGATACCAGATAAGGCAAATTTGTTTTGAAATCTTATTTCAGAAATGGAGGGGAGAAAAACCACTTTATTTACTCTATTTGCAATGATATTGTTGAGGGATGGACACCGAATATTTTGCATTTCCAGAAAAATATCTTTAAACACATGAAGAAATCGGGAGTGTCGTAGATTACCCTATGAGAAATTTTGATCTGTAAACCCCTATAACCACCTGTAACTCTCGCAGGTGACTATACTAGTTTTTACAGTTAGCTACATACAGAGGCACCTGTAAAATCCCTGTAATCCGTTACAAATTACAGGTTGGCTACTTACTTTGGCATTTTTTAGATTTTATCAAAAACCAAAATCCCTCTTGACCTGAAAATCGAAAATCATTATTAGAAAGTAGTGGCCTACCGAAAACAATTTGGTGTATGTATAAAACCTGTAACCAACTGTAATTTGTAAACAGATTACAGGGGAAATTTTACCGAGTAATTATTTTATAAGGCTAAAAAGAAACAAATGGCACATGTTTCACCTCGGATAAAACTAGACTAAATAATACTAAAATTTACAAATTACAATTTACCTTGTTTTTGCTCAAAAACAAAAATGTGTGTTAATTTTTTTCAAAAAGGTTGCCATATTTTAGATTTAGATTGTTAACCAATCGGAGAGCAATAGAGTCACGTGAAACAATTGTTTAGCAAATCATTTTTAGACTGCAAATCCAAAATTTTTTGGTGCATGCACTATGAATTAAATAGCAGGAAATTTTGTCACAAGTCAATTATTCGTAATTGGAATTAATATATTTACGGAGATCACCATCTTTTGAAAGTTTTTTCGTACATGTGCATCGTTCCGTAATCACAGGATTTCTCGTTTATGACTCAGATCATCAAATGGTAGCTGTGTATGGCTTTCCATTTAGCACCTCTGAATCATATAAGTATTCCACAAATTTCTTGATTATATTTTTCTGTATTTGTTGTCCACAAATCACCAATTTGGTAATATATTTTCAGGCTTTCTGAGAATAGACATAAATGATTTAATACTTGATTCCAAGTCAATTTTTTCTAATTGGATTAATATATTTACGAGATTTATTTGCTGCTCTAAGAGCAGTTCGAATCAAAACAATACTCAACTATGAACGATCGAATCTAATCAAATTACAAAGGCAACCCCTTTATACCGAAGTGGTCGGTGCTATTAGTAAAAAATTTTAAAAATTCGGTTTATCCGAGGTTTCATTAGTAAATTCGGTTTAACGGGGTAGATTTACTATAACTGATCCTGGCGCCATCTTCTGTTGTAATTGGTGCTTCGGTTAAACGGGGTTCGTTATACCGGGATTGCCTTTGTATTATGTACTAATTCAATGAAATATTTTCTAGTTATTTGGTTTTTCTGACTAATTTTCAATGGAACATTTATTATTTACTTTATAATCTTCGAAATTTAGTTTTGCCATCACCCCTGGTATAATATCAATATTTCACTCTTTTTATCCAAAAATTAGAAATCATAATTTATTGAGCTGGCATATTTTATCTTAGTCATCTTGCCTCGGAGCATCAGTTGAGGTGTGTTAGATGATTCCGGACTATTTGATGCACCTTATATTATGTGTGTAATCATGAGTTGTGATTTGTAATCATTTGATACATTTGCATGAATCTCATTAAAATAATTTACAATCTCATGTTTCTATTATCTGTAAAAAACATTTTGTTAAAATTTCATTATCATTTATTATTAGTTTTATTATTATTTTAATAATTAGTATTTGCTATTAATTGTTATTAATTTCATGTTATCTTAACCTAAATACTCTAGTATTCATATCTTGCGATTTGATTAGTTTATCCTTAAACCCATTATTTATTCGCTATTAGCCGATAACTGAATTTCTATTAATTGAATGTGAAAAATAATTAGAAATATTATATAATACTAACCAAACTTTCTACTGCTTCTCCAATATCTCTAAAATCAAGTTTTCGAATCACAGATCCAAGCATTTGATACACATCTCTTTTAAACGGCTACAATGAATATTCATTCAGTGGTTTCAAATGTTCATTATTCATACTAGCGTCATTAGGTTTTACTCAGCTATTTAACACGACAGGACCATCTCGGAAACAATCACTAAAGTTATAACTTGCTTTTGTAACTAAAGAATTGAGAGAGATACATTATAATACATATAATGCAGAATTGATAAAGTTATTGATGACGATATCTATGCAGTTCTTAAATGTTGTTAACTATGAGCTTTAGAAAAGAATATAATTTTCTTTGTAAATGTTCTCAAAGCGTGGAATTAAAATGAACATTCCACTTGCTTATATTTCCGCTGATACCATTCTAAACACATTTGCAAGCAAAAAATTTATTTCTTAAGAATCAAATATTGGATAATTATGAATTTAAAAACACCTGATTTTCACAAAATTTCTGAGCCTGATTGTTTTTGCTGATTTCCAATTTTATTTACCAAAACTTGACATATAGTCGAATTATCCGTCAAGCTCGACAAATTGAATTGATTTAAATTCCGTGTATCTGTGTTAAGGATTTAATCAATTAAAAGATTAATTGCGAAAGGTTAAATATAATTCATATAACTGCCTATACTTATGTACAAGACTTACCTTTAAATAATTATCTTTAAATCACCAAGGCCTATGTTAATACCATGAATCGAATGATCCTTAATCCAGAAAAGGCAGATTGATTTGTTGAAACGATTGTTATAGTTTAAGTCTTCTGTTGTTGGTTATTGTTAAAGAAATCCTTCAAAAGTAATAATTAAATAAATAAAATTTGTATTAACCAATAAATAACCGCATCCTGCTAAATTCCTTCACCAAATCTTAAAACCAACTCAACAACGATATCCGCAGATATCGGCACAGGCATTAGATAGCGTTAAATATCCCTTAAATCCATAATCTCTCCCAAACTTACCCGTTACAGAAACGATAAACAGATTATGCACGATTAAAAAAAATTTCCGTTACAGTGAACTGTGGGCATTTCATACTGTGCTTTTTTGTGGGGTGATTTTCCCGAGAAGAAATTTTCAGTACGAAATACTGAGCTTTCAATTTAAATCTGCTTTTATTAATTTGTCCCATGAATTCCTATTGAATCGCGCACTTAAAATAGAAAAATTCTTAATTATATTAGTAAAATCTTTTGGCAATTTTGACGTTATATTGAGATTTCTTGGGATTGATTTGGTAGATTTTTATTAAAATTTTTCAAAATATCCCGTTAATTCGTTTATTTCTATAGGATAATTTGACACGCGGACGAAATCCAAATGAAAATTTAAATTCACATATAAGTTTCGTTTTTTGTATCACACAGATTATCTAATTCATCATTAAATGGAATCTATGTGTATTTATTCCATGTATATACACGTAATTTTCTTTAACGATCCAGCTAAGTGGTATAAAGATGTCCAGTTCAGTCTTGTTAGCTATATTGCATTTTCTCCCGAAACATTTGCGTTAATTCCGGAACAATACATGTATATATATGTAACCAATTCCTAGGCATGGCGAAAAAATCCAATTTTTTATTTATTCATATAAAAACCAACCTAGACCCAGTTTTACCAAAAAATGGGTTAGTCATTAGAATTTTGTTATTTATTACATGTAGTTACCTAATATAAAAAATAGAATAGTACCATCAAATCACGAGAATTTCATTACATGGCCATATCTACAGTTCTGTGCAGATTTTCATAGGGGTTATATTCCATTGTGCTAACTATGAATTTAAAAAACTGAAAATAAAATTCTCTTTTTTATATTCGGTTTTTTTTACTAGACCCAACTTTGTCTAGAGATACTATATTTATTGTAAAGTTTGCACCGTACATAAATTTAAATTTATACATTTTATACACATCACTAATTTATGCGCATGTTAAATAGACAGATTTTGCGTAAACCGGAGGTCCAGAGGAGGTATCATGGCCGGAAATGATTGGATCTCCTGTGCAGCCGTAGCCACTGTAAAAAACGTAGGAGCTACCAGTAGTACTGGTAGTAACTTTTGTTATAGGATCGGACTCATCAACACCGTAACAACCACTCTGATTACCAGTTTCATGTCGATATTGGCCGAACCAAGCTAAAGAAATGAAAATGTCATTAGTATGACAAAATTTTTATGTATCAACAAATTAATCAAATAACATAATCTTACTAAGGGTGCATGTCCCCGCTTGAACATAAGCGACGGAAGCAAGAACGACAGCCAAAGATAAAATAACTGATTTCATTTTGTTAACGTAATATGATATGATTTGGTAATTTGGTTGTGAGGAGGTTGTGAGGTCGAAGGATCTCTTTTATATTGAATTGACAAGTCTTTCTCGTGATTGAAATGGACATGTACACATAATACGTGTATTATCAATTAAGAAATTATGTGAACTTTTAATTCTTGTTTATTAGGAAATTACGATTACATGTACCATGCAATTCGTTCATCAAATACATGTACCGGAAAATCAGGTGTTAATACATGTATAGTAAATCCCCTCTGTATTATTTATTCACGATTTCTTTGGGATGATTTACTCGGGAGGATATGGTAACTTTCATTTAGAAAAATACCATACAATTCAAATTTAGGAAATACCTTAATGAAGCGTGTAACAAATACCCTAGTGCAATACAAGAATAGCTCAGACAAAAAATTCATTATCCATCCAGATTTGAACAGGCAGTGCTCTGTTAATTAGGAAATCACTGCCATCAAAAATCAAAAAATCAAATTCATTCATCAAATTTAAATAATACAAATTTGATTAAATAGAGCCCCAATTGATTATGGGGTAACTGCTGCGTTTAGGAACTTGAAACATTAATTAAGTAAGTGCATTATACATGTACATGTATAATGGACCAGTAGGAATGCACGTCCGTTAATCGTATACGCCATCAAAATTTCTTACAAAATGAACTCCCTATTACATGTACATGTACTGTACATACATAGAAAATAAAAATAGGCGTTTACGAAATTTCTTGTTTCCAAGTCTGCGAAAATTTTAAAAGATTATGACCGTGAAACTTATGTGCATTTGTAAAAAAAAAACTTTATCCGAACTATTTAAAATCGCATAATTCCGATTATGCCAATATTATTGTATCCGGAACCAACTACAAAGCGTACATAGTTTGTTCGCATTTGAAAAAAAGCTGCGGAACAAATCAATATCAGAGTCAAATGAATTTTTATCATTGATGCATATATCTTTTATTGAAGATGAAAAAATATTCTTAGAGTTAAATACATTTAGTGTGAAAGTGTTTGGATAGACTTATAATTGACACATTACAAATTGTGTTAACGATTCAGATTTCGTTTACATGTATTACAAATAGTACTTGTATGCATAACACAAAAAAATTTCATTCAAATCTATCTTTTTATTCCAAACAATGCTATATGTAATATGTCTTATAAAAGTGCTTTTACAAATATGTTAGTAGTTCCTTAAGAGGCTTAATGGATTAGATAGTGAAAGTGGGAGAAAAAAAGCGAAAGGAAAGCATGAGTAGTTGAGGTTGTGAATTTGGCGCCTTAAATACTAATTTTTTCCTATTATTTAAAGCACGGTCACAAAGAATAATAATCTTCGTTCGTTGGCGCAGCTTACAATATGTTTTATATAATCAGAGAAAATTTCATAAAGATTTAATTGAAGTGGGACGAATTTTAGTGCATTTAAAATTTAATACAAACTTAAAATAATAATTCGTTTAATAAAAAAATGTTTAACCAAAAAAAATATCATATATAGGCTAGCACATTTTAATGAAGTTGCGTTTTAATTCTATTCTAAGAAATAGTTAGCTCCTGTGCGAGATTTTACCGAATTCAGAAAATGCTATTGTAATTTTATTAGTTGATCTTCAAATGGCTAAATATAAATTGCTTCGCTGATATTTGATTAATGATTTAAAGTAATTTTTCGATAAATGTGCGTAATATGTACATATTAACTGATAAAATTAATAGATTCTCAGAGTTGATGGGCTATTACACCTCGAACTAGTCATAAATGTCATTTTTAATATCAAATTCTTATGTTATTGAGAAGAATGCTATTCCTATTTATGGTTATAGGTAAAAAGGTGTAAAAATGATGTTAAAAAGATAAAATGATGTCAAAAAGGCGCCAAAAATGCTAAAAAAGCGTTAAGAAAATAACACATAATAATAATAATAATAATAATAATAATAATAATAAACACTCATCTGCATCTTGACTTCATACATATAGAATTTTTTACAGGTCTCTTTAATACATAGCATTTTTTTACAATCTTCATCATGAACATTATATATAATAAGCTTTTCTCATTAATAATCAAAGTGGTAGCAGTCATGAACAATATTACAAAAATATCTCTTTCAAGAAATAATGAAATATCAGATACCTTATTAAATAATATAACATTCACTTCTCCTAAAAAAATGAATTCAAAGAAAAAACTAACAAGAATTTTTCTTTAATAAGAACAATTCAACATTAGTAATCTTAATTACAGAATCTAGTATTAAATAAGAAGAATTTATAGAAGTAATACTTAATAAAAGAATCTTTCATAATAAAACTTAATATTTAGTAAAATAGCTGGATTATCACTATTTGAAAATCTATTAAAAATACTAAAAAAACTTGTTTAATAATTTGAATTATTATAAGAATAATAAGAATATTTATTCTTAAGAGAGAAGATATATAATAAAATTAATACTTAATTTATAGATCATTACTATATTATATATTATATTATATATAATTTATTGTATTATAATTATCTAATATATACCAAGAGAAGTTATATGATATAATAAGTTATTTTAGTTATAAAAAGATTTCTTAATAGAATTTCTTTTAATTCTTATTTTATTAATATAGCTAGTATATTACTCTTTTTATATTATTTATTTATAATCATTTATTTTTATATTTATATTTTTATAAGTATTTTCTAAAAATATTTTCTCTTAAGTATTTATATATTAATAATTTTATGTAATAATAATTTATTATTATTTAAAAATATTTTCTTTTCTATTTATATTTTTCTTAATTTTATTTTATTTTAATAAAATAAAATATATAATTATATAATTAAATAAAATCTATTTACTTTTAACTTAACTTTTATATAATAATATATATATATAATAAAAAGTTTATATATAATAAGAAAGTTTATTTATTATATAAATATATAATTAAATTATATATTATATAATAATTTAATTAATTTAATTAATTTAAATTAAGAATAAATAAAATATTTATATAATAAAATATTTATTCTTTATTTAAATATATAAAATAAATTTTTGTAATTTTAAATTATTAAAAATTTTTAAATATTAATATAAAGTTAACTATTTTGAATATAATTTATATTTAAAAAGAATTATTCTATTTTTTATATTATTAATATTTTTTTATATTTTAATTATTATATTATTTTTTATATTTAATAATATATAAAAAAATTTATATTATTTTATTATATAATTTCTTAATTTTATAAATATTATAATTAATTAAAAAATAATTAAAATAGAATTATATTATTAAAATTAAAATATTAAAAATACTAAAAAAAAGTTAAAATAAAAAAAGATAAAATATATACTTAATATAAATATAAGTTATATTTTATTTTAATTAAAATATTATTAACTTAAATTAATTAATAAATTTTTATTTATTTTTAAGTTTTATATATTTATTATAATTTAATATTTATAACTTTTAAATATTTTTTAATTTTTAATATTTTTTTAGTTTATTTTAATATCTTATATTTTATTAAATAATTTATTGTAAAGTTATTAAAATTATATATAATAAAATAATTTTTATAAAAAATTTAAAATTCTTAAAAATTATATATTAAAATAAAGAATTTTAATTTTATTTTAAGTTAAATAAAAATATATATTTTATTAATTATAATTAATAAATAAATTCAAGTATTAATTTCAATTATTATTATATAACTTATTATATAAATATAAATATATTATTTAATAATAATATATTTTATAAAAAATTCTAATTTTTAATAAATTAAATTAAAATTTTTTTAAGTTTAAAAATTATAAATAAATTTTAAAATAAAATCTAATATTTATTTTAAAATATAATATTTATAAATTTTTAAATTAAATTAAATAAATATAGTTATTATATAATTTTTTTGACTAAAGAAACTAAATAATATATTTTTATTTATTTTAATTTAAATAATTATAAAATAATATATTTTAAAAACTATATTAATTAAATTTTTATTTTTTTAAAAAATAAAATTATTTATTTATTAATTTTAATAAATTTAATAATAATAATTTCAAAATAATTTTTTGATTAATAAAATATCTTTTATTTAATTAAAATTTATTTAAAAAAATTAAAATTAAATATTTTATAATTTACTAAATTAGTATTATTTTTTTTAATTTTAAATAATTTTATAATATAAGTATTAATTATATAAATCTTAATAACTAATATAAATTAAACTATTTTATTTTATTAAATATAATTTTTATAATAATTTTTAATTATATTTCAAATTTAAATTATTAAAATAATTATATTTAATTAATTAATTAATATTTATATATATTTAAATTATAATTTTAAGCTCAGCCTATTTTATTAACTTTAAATTTTAATTTTAAAAATATTAATAAAAGTATAAATATCTAATTACAAGAAGTTTAATATAAAAATAATCTTATATAATATATAAAATCTTAAATATATATATTAAATATATATATTTAATATTAATAATAAGTAACTTGTATATTAAGATTAGAAAGATAAATATTATATATATATAATTATCACAAAAAATAATATCTGATTTACATATAAACAAATATATACATTATGTATTTTTACTTTTTTATTTTATTAGTTTCTTCTTTTACTTTTAAACATATACTAGAAAATTTTTTTAAATATAAATATGATATTTATTATATCAGTTAATTATTTTTAATAGAATAAATAAGAACTTTTATTAAAGTTATAAGTATCAGATAATCTGCAAGAAAAATATATTATCATCTGATAATAATATAATAATCTTTTATCAAGTATAAAAGAAATAAGAAAAATAAAAATTTATCACTGTCTGGAAAACTATAAGCTCTCTAAAGAAAACATAATCAAAATTTAATATATTGATTTTTAAAAAGATTATAGGCTCAATGTCTTGAGAAATCAAAGCAATATTAGAGCCATATAAAGAGTTAATAATGTATTAAAAATAAATAATTTTTACATATAAGATAGAAAATAATAAATTGGATATATATAGTTGGCATCATAAAGATTTGGAATTTTCTAGAATAATGAATAATTGTAAAAATTATCTGATAATTTGTAAATCAAGTTTGCTCAAAATATTTTATAAAATTATTATTAATTATATTTATTGTTCCATAGTCAGATTCAACAAAGATTGAGCTTATGTTATTAAAAATACTATTAAGTAATTCTATTATTTTGTATAAGTGAAGTTATTCATTATATTACAAAGAATATATTTATAAATTTTGGCATAATTATAACATTTTTTCATTGAATAATCAATAAAAATATAAAATTAGTTATATTTATAATTGGTTTTAATTTTTATAATTTAATGATATTTTTAATAAGGTATTATACCAATATGTCTTAAGTAATTTTTGTTCTTCATATCAAAAAATATATATTTGCAAATTTTCATGTAATTATATTCACTCTTTATCAAATGGTTGATATGCAAATTTAAAACTTCCGAATCCTTATCGTTATGACACCAACTGTATCTGAAATTCCATTTTTTAAAACAAATCGGGCGTTACTTTTTGTGGCGACTGTCATAACAGATATCGAATTACTTGAATAAAATGATCCATTGTGTATAAAAGATAGAATATATATATATATACATGTATCATGAGAGCAATTCATTAAGAATCAAACACCTGTTTAGTGTGATCTAAATACACTTTATTAAAGTATCCAAAGAAATGCGAAATACATGTACGTGTGAAAGAAATCCCAGGCTCACAATACATGTACATCATTCTTACTAGCACAAGTTCTGCCTCTACTAAAGATGCTTGCCTAACTATTACTATTACTAACACTTTTGACTAAATTTATCGCTAACCCATTTTTTTTGAAAATATCGGAAATTGTGTTAGCCAATGCCGAAAGATTTGACGAATTCTTAATTTCATTTTGAATAAGAATTTAAAGTGTTCTTTGACGTTTATTGGAAGTTGAAATTTGTAAACTTTTTTTTCCTTGCTTAAATTATTTGTGTAGAAGCAAAAGAAATGAAACGCGTATCAAAAAAAAATTGCAATATCGTTGTCCATGTACATGTATTATATTTTTCTTTTTTATCATGCGCTTAGCTCTTTCAATTTGGATTAAAGTTCGGTAAATATAAAATTAAGAAAATATTAATTGATATCGGTAGTAAAATTGCATGACGCATTAATACATGTGCATGGAACAAATTAATCCGTGTATATATAAAAAATAGATCCAAACAAGAGCGAACCAGCACTCATCCCAAAAACTAAAAATAGTTGTCACGACACGCGTAATTGTTAATGTTTCTTTGTCAACTATTATATTATCACAAATCTACCACGTATTGATTAATTAAATTGAAATCATCGTCTTCTGCATCCATACCACAATTACCCGGTCCGCAGCTTCCACAAGATCCATAGTCATGCTGTGGATATAAAGTGGCTAAGAATAATCATAGTTAGCATTATGGCATATACATAAAAACTTGCAAGGAAAAAAACTGATGCGCGCATCTTACAGTTGAAAAGAAAATTTTGTGACGTTGTCGTGTTTTTGGTTTCATATTCGTCATCAGATTTACTAATATATGCGAGACACAATAAATTAGACTAATCTTTAATGGTAATAAACAATTTAAATAATAATAAATTAATACCCCTGTAGTTCTTGTATGCTCATAATCGTAGTCAATCTACTAAAACTGTATTTTTTTTGTAGTTGTGCTTGTGGTTGTGGTTGTGTAATATGATAAGAAGAATGTCGTCGCTTAAATTCTCTTTCCTCTTTTTTATTATTTTTTTTTGATTTCCAAAAAAAGAATGCACCATAATTTGGTATAGAAGCCATAACTTTCTTTGATGGTTTCAACCAATCTTTTTTAGTAGGATCGTTACTCGGATTACTAATAAAATTATTAGAAGGGTAATAAGGTTCCTTGTATTTCTTATACCAAGCTTTCCCGGTCTTTGAGAATCCTTGTTCCAATACGGGCTGGGAAATTGTATCATCGTGATTGATCACACGTTTCAAATGTGTTTTGGTGAATTTACGATATGCTTTCGGATGAAGCATGTGTGTGTGCCATCCTAAATCGATATCCAGCATTGGAACAAGAAGCAAATCTGGTTTACGTAACAGACGCAAGAACTTTTGATAACGTATAGGAATATTCGCTAAGACTTCAGGCCTCTCGATCCATCCTGCCGCGTCATTATTATTGTCAGACGTCACCATTTTATGTGTGAATTCACGCTGCCGCAATACTGCACTAACGAGATCAATTGAAAATGTTGAGGTAATACCAGCATACGACGAAATTATTCGTTCCACGACACCTTTTCGGATGTTCTCAATCTTCCATTGTCGTTTTAGTTCTTCCATTCGCAGTTTTAGTGCATTAGTTATTATTGCCCATTGGCATTTTTTCGATTCTAAGCGTTGAACAGCAACTAGTTGGACAATATGTGGACTGGTCACGTCAAATAGTAGATCGCAATCCGTTTTCGTGGATTCATAGCATATCTCACCAGTTCTAATGTCAACTAATGTTCCCCTATTTTTGTTAAAAAATTAGAGAAATTTAAACGAATTAAGAATAAAATCACGAGTTCATACCTAATGTATTGCTGCCGAGTAGTTGTATTTCTAAAGGAAAAGATAAGAATTTAATAAATGCATTATCAGAAGTGTGAATATTCTATAGACGCGCGTTGCGACTAAATTACATAACGAGCGTATTATCAACAAGAAATACATACAAATCTTCCACTTTATTGCTTGTCATCCATTCCGCCACATCATCTAAAAATTTCTTTGCACTGATCGAATCTTGCGATAATAAAGCACCACAGTGAAAGCACGTTTCAACGTGATCTTGCGTTCGCATTAAGTTCATATAGTTTTTGCTATCATATTAATTTTATAATCCTTTAGGAAATAATTCGGATAATTTTTAATAATGAGTTGTAAAGAAATAATGAAAAGATTACGCTGATATATGCAACGGCATCGCACACCAAGGACAATCAAATTCGAAGTCTGAATCGTCAGATGGATCGAGTACCCATGGTTTTCCGGTATTTTGTTCCCATATTTGTTGGGATCGTTCGTGCATATGTTTGGAGCTCTCGTCCCATAGTTCATTCTGTTTTTTTTTATTTGCTAGATTAGCAAGAACCCAGATTAATTTCTTAGAAAATCCGAATAAATTTTAACAAACCAGTTTTCTTAATGGAAGATTGTAATTTATAGAACGACCAAATCCCAAACGTTGTGTATCTTCAAAATAACGAAGCGGCGACAGACAATGCGCGTGCCATATATAGCATACATCTTAGAAAAAACAAATACATGTAAATACATGTACATGTACGTATAATAACGATAATACATGTATACAATGGTGTAAATAAATACCTAAAGGAGGAAGAGGTGGGCTTGAAAATTTTCCTTGTTCTAACAAATTTAACCATAACTTGTACCTTTCTTGTGCACGCAATAAATAACATACGTCAGTTTGAGAATCTGGTTGCTCTAAGCTTTTAAACTTTTTCAATAGTGTTAAATGTGCACGTAAGCTATCCGTATTGACCATATCTTCCAAATTGAATCTAACTTCAGTGGTTCCTTGTTTTGCAAGCATCGATGTGATTTCTTCCTTTACCGTTACTAAATTTGTTGAAACAGGAGTTTGTAAAGTCGACGATGAAGATTTCCAATTGGAATTCGAGAATACTTTTTTTAATATTCGAACTTGCGTTTCTGGTGCTTTTTGTTCCTGTTTCTCTTCAGGTTGCTTTTCTTCTTTGGCAGTTCGCGCGTTTAAATTAGGAGAGGTTGCTCTTCTATATAATCGTCCGATTGCTTTTCGTGTATTCGAAGGATTCAAAAATTCACCCTTCATTAAGGATTTATTTGTATCTTCCGAAATTAAATCATTCTTATTAATTGATCGACGATGAACAGTTGACGAGGATCTAACCAATAATGGTCCATTTAATATCTCAGCGTCTTCCTTTGGTCTGAGTTTCTCCATTTGACATTTTTAATCGTTTAAATAGTAGCTGAAATTTTCATCACGGTAATATTTATTATTGCTATTTATATGGCGCATTTCTCTTTGCATTGCCATATGTGTATACTTACTATTGAGCGAAAATAGTCTATTGGAAGAAATCACTTTATCGTTATCAGATATCCAAGTTAACTTTTATGGATAATTCTTGACTTCACAAATATATGTATTTCGAGTTAACGCTAGCGAAAAAAAATTTTGTTTGTTTGTATTGCTTTCTCTTATCGATATGTACGAACATGGGTTGACTATACTATTTTAGTATAAAAATACAACTACATGTAGTGAATACATGTACACTCACTGGACAAAAGTTTGGAATCGGGGGTGATCGACATAAATAAAGGGGTGAGTTGCATCGTTA